GCTGGATGACTGAAAGAGCTCCCAGAATTCTCCCACCATGCCTGTGAAGATCTCACCCGAGTCTAGTGCTCTTTCCCAGCACCTGTTCTCACAACATTATAAGATGCAGAACATCGACCTGAAAAGACACCAAGGGCTCTGAACCCTGAACATCTGCCACTTCCCATCTCCCACTTTCCAGCTGTGTGATGTTGGACCAGTTCCTAAATATCTCTGTGCTTTTGTTTCCTTTTCTGGAAATTGTCAGAAATCATAGTACCTCTCTCATGGGGTGGTTTTCAAGATCCAATAAATTCATTTCTATAAACATGATTTAAAAATACCCTGCCTCAGTGTAAGTGCTCTGTTACTCTTAGTCATTATTAATATTATTAACAGAAAAAGGATAGATTCTAGGATCAGGTGGGCCTAGTATTTTTCTCCTATTTGCAAGTTATTTTCCCCGTGTGACCCTGGGCAAATCATGTCACACTCAGAGCCTTGGGTTAAATTGCATCTTTTGAATTGGGATCTGAAGAACCTCAGAAAGGGTGGTTGAGAGGGCTAGATGGGACTTGAGAGAAGCATTTAGCACGGTGCTGGTACCTCGTGGTCCCCCTTCTGTGGCTGAACCGGTCCACGTTGCCTTTCGGATAACAAGTCCTATGCGGGTAGCTTCATGGGGGCCTTATTTCTGACCACATTTCTATCCCCTCTGTACCTGGCACATAGTAGGTGCTCCATTAATGGCTCTTTACTGGATGAAGGAGCCCATAAACGGGACCACGCTCTGCCCATCTCTGTGTCCAACTCAAGACGGGAGCAATGTCTACCATCTAATTTGAATCACTGTTTGTAGACAGACTAGATTTTTAGAAATGGCTGTTCATTTTTTTGTTTCCAGTCCCACTTGGATTTCTGAATTAAACTGAGAAAGATACTGTGATGGTTAATTTTATGTGTCAGCTTGACTAGGCTAGGGATGCTTGGAGAGCTGGTAACACATTCTTTCTGGGAGTATCTGGGAATGTTCCAGAAGAGATTAGCATTTGAATTGGTAGACTGAGTAAAGATCCGTCTTCACCAGCATAGGTGGGCATCATCCATCCCCTGTGGCCTGAAGAGAACCTTCTGTTTCTTTGCAGATTACGGCAGATGTATGCTCAGGACCTGATCTGGGACATCCTTTGCCCCTGGCTCTCTGGTCTTCAAACTCAGACCAAGGCCCAGACCAAAAAATTGGCCCACTTCGTTCTCGGCCTTGTGGCTTGGACTAGAGCTACACCACTGATGCCCTGGGTCTCCAGCCCGCAGACGGCAGAAGGTGGGACTCTCAGCCTCATAATCACGTGAGTCAACCCCTCCTAAGACATCTCCCTCTCCATCCTCATGGTTCTGTTTTTCTGTAGGGTCTTGACTAATACTGAGGCTTATTAACGGATCCCAAATCTCAAGTCTTAAGTATTCTTATTGTAAAATGGAGCTATTAATAACATCTGCCACATAAGATTATTCTGAAGAGTAAATGAAGCAGTATGTACTTAGCAGGTAGAAAATGTTCGCTATCGTTCCCTTCCCCGAGCCTCGGTTTCCATATCTGAAAATGCTCATCCAGTCCTTATTCATTCATTTGCTCAACACAGGACCGTCATGGCCAAGACTTGGGGCAGTTACAGAGGTGAGCAAGCCCCTGTTCCTGCTATGAGGGTCTCAGTGTCTGCTGTGAGATGACACATCAGTAGGGAAAAAACCCAGTGGGAGAGAGCCATGGTATGTCCATAGGGTATGTCTATGGGGTATGTCCATGGGTCTGTCCATGGGGTATGTCCGTGGGGTATGTCTATGGAGTATGTCCATGGGGTCTGACATGGGGTGTATCTATGGGGTATGTCCATGGGTCTGTCCATGCGGTATGTCTACAGGTGTAGGGTCGGGGGTCCTCTGAGGCTTCACAGAGCTTGCTAGAGAGGTTACAAAGGTCATGATATCACCAGATTGGTGTCATCACCAACATTCCATTGGTCTGAAATGCACCCCTGGTTTTTGTAACCCAAGTCTGAAAGGCACATCAGTCCTGCCGAGGCCCTTCTTTCTACCCTGGCTCACGGAACATGCCAGAGGCTGGTCAGGCCGTCAGTACCACAGAGAGCACCCAGTTTAGACATTTCCTTCTGAGACGCAGCCTTGCTTTTCCGCCTCTCCCTCTGGGTCCTGCCTTCACAGGGGACCTAGCTGATTGCCCTACACTTCTGTGCAACAATGCAGAGGATGTCCTCAGTGAACGTGCGGCTCCCTACTTATTTCCCCAGAGACTAGCCTGTCATTTCCTGGGGTGGGACCCAGCAAGGAGAAGCGTGGGCTTTGGAGACGTGGAAGAGGCCAGGTTAGGCCTCTGGGCTCCTGAATTCAAGTGGGTCACATGCTAATCACTGATGTTCGCAGCTAGTCCCAGGGAACTGACTCCTACCAACCAAACTCACAAGACACTGAAACATTTGAATAAACATTTTATACTGAAACTGGGTGCATATGTGTGGTTGGGAGTGATGATTCATCTCCAGTGTCCAAAATATTTGCACCTGTTCACCACAGCAATCTTTTGTCTTTTATTTTCAGTTGGAAGAAATTTACATGCCAGGAGTATTTAAATATCAGGAGCAGACCTGCTGTCAGTGGCCTGGCCAGAGGTGGAAGGACGTCTGAGTCCCCGTGGCCCATACGTAGTAGACCTCAGGGAAGAAGCCAGACTTCCACGGTGAGAGCCTGCCTGGGCCACTTTTTCTGTCAGGAAAGGCCTCCCTGCAGTATTTTCTGTCTCGTCAACGCTGCATTTCATTTTAAATTGCATCTGAAAGCAGATATTTTCCCTCTTGCCTATTACACCTCTTAATTTGTCTCTCCCTCTGCTGTTATTTGTCTCTATAAAGTGTTATGCATGAAAGACCCACATAGCACAGTGCTCCTTTGCCCTGGGTGAGGCTTAACAGGAAAGGAAGACACAGGCTAAGTCCAGGGAGGAATGTGAGGGCCTCCCGGTGGAGATGCATGTGTCTGAGAACACAGGGCTGACAGTGTGTACATGGGCATGATTTTGGAGGTGTGTTACCTGAGTGCGGGTATGTGTGCACATGTCAACCTTTGGACTACTATGTATTTACGTCTGTGCGTACTTTGGCGTAATCACTTGGGTGTCTAAATTGTTCGTGCTCACATGTCTGTCTCTGTGCATCTGTTTCTATGCATGCAAACACACGTGTGCACATAAACACGCGTAGACATCTGGGTACATGTATGCTGCGTGTTCTGTGTGGTCTTTGGCGCTCATTCCCGTGGCTTGCTCTCTTTCCTTGTTTCCCAAGCCTGCGGTTAGCATCCTTCCCTGCCCCACCCAAAGGCCCTGGCCTCAGGTTGTGGGAAAGGAAGGCAGGGCGGTGGTCTGCGGGGGACAGTGGAAACACTGCCTCAGCCGGACCCAACCGCGGCCACATCTCTCTGGTTTGGCACCAGCCACCTCCGAGGCCCAGCCTGCCACAGCAGCACCAGCATGGCTCAGCGGAAGCTCTGAGAACCTCTGGGCAGTCCCTAGCTCCCTGACCATTCCGGACTGGCACTGAGGGGGTGAGAGAGGTCACCTAACGACGGGCATAGCCCTCCAGACTAGCCTCGTCTCCTGCCCCTTCCGGTGGACCACAACCCAGAGCAGAGCGGGCGCGGCGGGGGAGGGGGTGTCTCGGTCGCTCGCAGTCCAGCAAACGCAGGGCAGTATCCAATGGGCGACTGTGGCCCAACGGGGATCCCTCCAAGGCAGCCAATGACCTCGCTGCGCTCTCCACCCCCGCCCTCGCCAACCCCGCGCAGCTGGACCATTGGTGCTGATGGGCTGGGGGAGTGTGCGCGGCGCTGGCCCTTTGAGGAGGGGGCGTGGCTTGGAGTCCGGTCCCCTCTCCCCACCCTCGCTCAGCCCCTGCACCCCCTACGCCCAGACGCGAGGCCATTGGCCTGGCTGCGGTGCCACTGCTGGTGGCGATGGTGGCGGTGGAGGGGGCCGGACCGCGGGACGCGCGCGGGAGGGCGTGGCCTGAGGGCGTGTCCCGGCGGGAGGCGGGGCCGCGGGCGCTGTCGCAGTGAAAGCCCGAGCGAGCCGCGGCGGCGGCGGAGGCGTCCGGGCGGGTGTGCGCGCGTGTGGGGCGCAGGCTCAGCAGCGGCAGCGGCGGCGATTCAGCCTGCGGCGGCGGCGGCGGCAGCCCGTCTGGAGCGGCCGCTGCGAGGACGCAGCTGCAGCGGGGGAGGCGCAGCCCGGGCTGCGCGCTCCGCGGAGCCGGCCGGGGCCGGGAACAGGTGATCCCAGCGGCAACCCCGAGCCCAACCGAGTTGGCGGGGCGAGAGCCCGCGCTCCTGGGCGCAGCTGCAGCCGCCCAGCCGCGGCTCTTCGCGGACGGCGCCCGGCGCTGGACCCAGACGCGGGCATCTCTGTGCTCCCGGGGGCTTGCGAAGCCTCCTGCCGCCTCAGGCTCGGAAGTGCCCGCTCCCGCTCCTCGGCCTCTCCCCGCACCCCGGCGCCCGCCTCGCGGCGAAGCAAAGTTGTGGACGTGTCCCGATAGCCGAGCCAGGGTGCTGTCGCGATCCAGCCGGGGGTGCGCGCGCTCGGAGAGGCGCTCTCACGCCGGCCCGGCCACCGCCTCGCCTCCCGAGCGGGCCCCCTCTAGAAACTGCTTCTGAGGCTGAAACTTTGGGCGCAGACGAGCGCGGGAGGGAGGCCGAGGGACGGAGGGCGGCTCGGCGCGGGCCACCAGGACGCCGCCTGGCCCCGGCCTGCGGTCGCCCCTCCGCACCAATAACCTGGGCGCCACGGACGGCATGTGACCGCCCCGGCGGCCGCCGCAGCGCGGGAAGGCGCGGGCCCCGAAGACCCAGCTGCTGCGGGGAGGGGCCGCGCGGCCACCAGAGGGAAGTCTGCGGCGCGCCGCCGGCCGCTGCGGGCCCGGGCCCCAAGCCGTGCCGCCCCTCTCGCCCGGGCCCCGCCGAGGCCGCGGCATCCCCGCCCCGGGGCGGGAGGACTCGTTCCAAACTCCCTGAACTTCGGGGACAGTTCCGGTAGCCGTGAAACTCCGGGTTGGCATCCCTGCCCGGGAACCCCCACCCGCGCGGGTTCCCTGCACGCCTCCCGGCGCCGAAGCCCTTCCCAACACGTGCCTGCCCTCTGAGGGCCTTGGGGCCCCAGGCGGAGCTGACGGTCCCCAGACCCGTGCCGGGTCACGATGCTCATGAGAAAAGTGCCGGGCTTCGTCCCGGCCTCCCCGTGGGGGCTGCGGCTGCCGCAGAAATTCCTCTTCCTCCTCTTCCTCTCTGGCCTGGTCACCCTGTGCTTCGGGGCCCTCTTCCTGCTGCCCCACTCCTCTCGCCTCAAGCGCCTCTTTCTGGCCCCCAGGGCCCAGAAGCCCGGCTTGGAGTTGGTGGCTGAAGTAGGCGGACGCTCTCCGCCCGGTAAACAGGAGCCGCCTCCCAACCCGGCCCTGGCCGAGCCGGCCCTGGGCGCCCGCCACAACCGGGTCAGTCCCCGCCGCAAGGAGTGGATGCGGCGCGCCCAGCACCTCAAGGAGTGGATACCGCGCGCTCGCCCCACCGAGGAGCACATCCCCACCACGGCCTCGAGCTCCTTGCTCAGATTTGATTTCGAAGCGTTCCAGAGACGCCTCCGCCACCCGGTCCTTGGAACGAGGGCTGAGAGTACAGAGCCACAGAGCCCAGTGCGAGCCCAGCGGGAGAAAATCAAGGAGGTAAGCACCTTGTCCCCAAAGACAAGAGCTGGTGCTCCCGTCCATTTCCTTCCTGGCCCCTGATCCACCCTAAAGCTTTGAGATACATTCGGCACCCCTCTCTTCCCAAACTTCCCACCTTCTCTCAGCCCTGCACACTTTCTTTTCAGGGATTCAGTTACTCCTCTCCACCCCTGAAGGAAAGCTGCTGAACCCCTGGAGCACCTGCTCCCAACCCCCAGATTGGTGCTTCTTATTTAGTCCCGGGCCCAAGTGGGCTCCCTTGGAGTTGCTAATGAGAGTGGAGCTCAGGTTCCTTAGGGCACGTTCTGTTTGCATTTATGGACCTGGGAGCCAGCAGCAGCATTGTTTCTTGATTCACCAAACCCCTGTAGGACCTGCTGCCTGGAAACCCAGGATTTGAGGGGTATATGGTGTTCTGCAAATATCTTGTAATCTAGTCCGCACCCTACAAACCAGAGGTGTTGTGCGTTCCTGCTTTCCTGTTGAGCTTTGGAACAATCATACATAATTGCTTGTGACAAGAGAAGGAATGGTCAATAAGGCAGTGGTAATGTTACAGAAGCTCTGAGGTTATTGGCTTAATGAAGCAGGTCTTGGACTGATTGTAGGGATTGTACCAGGGAGGGATTTAGAAAGATCACTTTGAGTCTGAGTCTTAGTTTAAGAAATCAAAAACAAACGTTAGCCTTGCAGACAGTTGCTAAGTCGCCACTTGCGCCTGAATATTCAGTTCTGGGGCTGTGAGAGCAGCCTACTGGAGGCTTGTGCCCAGCAATGCAGAGGGGGCTGCAGTGACACCCCCAGGCCACGAGGGGGCCGTGGGCAAGCAGTGGGCCAGGGTCTCCTCCCTAGAAATGAGAGGATGCTTTCCCCTCTGCATGGACCCAGAAGGATAGAACTGCTTCAGCCTGGACTTCTTGGTTGGCTGCGGGAGAGTCAGCAGTTCTGCCCTGATTTCAAGGGAGAGCAGGCAGCAAGGGTCAGGACCTGCCCTGCCAAGACCTACTCAGAGCTGGCAGAGAGCTTGCCTGTCCCTCCTCATCATCCAGTGTGTCCTCCCTCCCAGTGCCCACCTCTCTCCATTTACCTTTGCTGTTACTCTGCCGTGCTTCCCTGAACCCAGTTCGAGACTGTCTTAACTAGCAATCACAGGACTTTTTGTGAAGTCAAGATGGGAAGCCACAAAGCTTGAGCCCTGGGGTTTGAGCCCTGGGGGTATGTGCGTGTGCATATGCATGCCTCCTGGTTTCCAAATTCTTGCTGAAACCTCAAAGGTTCATTAAAGGCTAGAACTTGAAGTACTACAGTTAACACTGTTAAGGAGCAGTGCTGTCCACAGTTCACCTTGACCCACGGCGCCCTTTCCCAAATCTGCCTCTGAGCTCATAGCTCTTTCTGCCCTCCTGGACCTCCTCCCAGGGCAGTAACTGCCAGCGAAATTACATACCAATTGCATGTGTGCAGTTTTTCATGCAATGTCCAGAGCTACCATCCAGTTTTCAATAGGAACCCCCATAGGATTAACAATGAAGTACTACTATCCTGGTCAAAAGAGATGCATGTGACCCATTTCTGAGAGCCTGGGGTGGGAGCCGTGGTGGGAGGTGTTGGTTGGCTATTGGGGAACTTGGTTCTGTCCCTCCATATCAAGGCAGCCTCCTTTGCCAGCTGAGGTCGGGGGTGATGACTGGGGGGCAGTGACTGGGAGTGGTAGGGGGGTGGGGATTCTATGTTTTTCAGGTGGGTGTAAAATAATATGATGGGAGGTAATTTGTGTTGGTTGCTAATTTTCCACGGCATCTCTTCACACCCCGGAAGTTGCTAGAGGGATGTTCGTGTTTACCTGCAGCAGGTGCTCAGCAGCCCTCTCTTACTATCTTGAAGACCCTGAGCTTCCTCAGGGTGGGAGGGGCTGGTATAGATTCCTATTATGTTTGAAAGCCTGTGGTCTCTTCAGGCTTCTTGAGTCTAACACTCACCCCCCCAACCTGAAATATCTGGGGTAGAGGTTTTTTGCTTCGAGGTTAACCCAGAGTTTCCATCCCCGCTGTCCCACCCGGTGAGCAATGCAGGTGAGCAGTGCAGATGATGGCTGCTATCTTTATTTCCCTCTCGTTTAAATTTGTCTCTGTGTCATGCCTAGGGTTAGATCATTTCAGAACAGTGCCTGTTTTCACAAAAGGGATGGTGGCATTTGTCTTTGGTTTGTTTATTTCCAGACATGGATTGATTAGACCCATGGAGAGGAGAGGGAGCGAGCATCAGATAAAAAAGGGCCTGTTCTTAGAAGATGAGGTTTTAAAAGTGAAAGTAAATGTCAAGACAGATTCAGAGAGGGTGATAAATGAGAGGAATGGGAACTGGACACCCAGGCTCTAGATCAACAAACTCTATTTATGAACATTCTGGTTTGAGAGATGGACATGGGGACAAGGTCTGGTGCTGATAAGATGGGCTGAGCCACAGGCTCTGGGTGTACATGCATCAGGAAGCACTTTGTTACTGGAATCAACTATCCCCCCCCCCACAAAAAATATATATATTTTGAACCTTGGAGAAAAACAAAGTGGTAGAGAAGGGAGACCAAAGCTGTTGTCTCAGCTGAACTGTCAACTGTCTGATTTAACTGTCACCTCCTTTCCTTCCCGGACCTTCCTGTGAAAGCATATGGGTTGGTCGTGGACACTGGGCTTCTGGTTTGGCCCCTAGGTGGCCTGCCAGCCTGGTCAGGCACTGCTTAGCAGTTGAACTTTCTCTGGTCTCAGCCTATCTTAGTTCTGTGAAGCCGAGGACAGGAGTGGGCTGACGTGTTGATGGCAGTGATGTTCACTCTGTGTCCCAGCAGCTGCCCACAGCAGATTCTCAGATGTGTATTAAGTTAATATTCCTAGCACCCAAGCTGAACTTTGGGAAATGGGATTGAACAGATTGTCAGCTTGGGATCGGGAAGAGTGCTGGCCAGCGTGTGAAAGGGTGGAATGCTGATTAGCCGCCTTCCCTTTCAGATCTGAGGATCGTGCAGGGAATAGGGTCTTCCTCCATAGGTGGATTCCTTATGAATTCAAGTTCAGGCTTTTCTCACACATGACCAGAGCTGGCAATGCGTAGTTTGTTCAGGCTACATCCAGTGAAAGAATTTATAGTGTCCTGGCTCCAACTGATGGTGGTTGGTTGCTGATCTGGGGAACCTCAGTTGCCCCTTCTGGGGAAGAGGGCTTTATGTTAAAGGGCCCCGGGCAGTCTCTGCAGTGGGCACAGGGAACTGGAGTTGGGGCTGCCCCTACCTTGCATGTGCTTTTGGACAAACTGTAGAAGAAGCTGCTTCCTCTGGTTAGATGCAGCCTCACTCTGGAGTGTTGGGCTGGGCCAGAAGCATTTGAGTTGGATTTGACCACCTTCCCTGTCCACTGGAGTGGCCCTGGGCTCTCATGCACCACTGCATACAGTGGGCCTGCTAAGAGTCCAACCAGAGTTTAAGTCTGTCAACTCTGACCTTCAGGAGAGGGATTCCCGTGGATCACTGGGTCTCTGTCTTCATGGTAAAACCAGTGTCACGTGTGGAGGACTCTCCTACCTTCTCGAGTCCCGCCTGTTCACTGTTCTGTTTAGCCCCTAGAGTAAGATCTGACATTCAGCTGGAGCCCAGACACTGGAGTGAATGGCTGAAGATCTATAAACCATCAGATCAGGTTGCTGAGGTGGAGGCGGGGTCTTCTCTGGGAAGGTACCTGGAATGGTAAGGAGGCTCAGAGTAAGGAGGAACCACAGCCGGGTTTGGGGGCTGGAGCAGCTCAGTGCCCCAAGAGGTCCTTTAGAAGTTGCAGTCGTTTTCAGAGTGCAAGCCTAAGCTGAGGGGAGCCCAGAGGTCGCACCCATGAGCAGAATCCCCACTGTCTGGATAGCGGGCATCTGGAGGATGCTAGAGGTGCCCCAGACTGCCTGTGGCTTGGCAGGGAGTGCCCCGGCCCTTGCCTGCTGCCTTGATTCTCCAGGACCCGACGGGTCCTGAGACGTGATGGTGTCAGAGTAAGTCATCTTGGCAAATGACCTTTGCTCCCATCAATGGGCTGGTTCGTTAGTCATGTGTGGTTTCTCGGAATATCTGATTTATCGTCACTGGTGCCAGGGACAGGTAGGAAAATTAAAAGGCGTTGTGTTCTTTGTAGCATGTGAATCTGAGCCTGTGAGATGTTCAGGATAATTAATATCAGGAATAGCTCAGATTTAAATAGTCTCCCCTGGAAGAGCGCTGGGATGCAGATCTGCTGGAGATCCTTTTCCCCTCCCCATCCTTCAGTTTCGCTGCTGTTGCCTTTAGTATAGATGGGTAGATGGAGGCTGCTCTCACAGCTGGACAGAGCCTTTGGGAGACCCATCCTCAGCCCAGCCACACCCGCCTTCTTCTTCCTGGAGTGTAGCAGGGCGTGCGTCCCTACCAGCTAAATCCCTCTCCACTGGCAGGCAGGTTGGCTCTCTGCTTTCATTTCTTAATTCCATCATCATTCGGGGGAATTAGGCATTCCAGGGGCAATTGCTCCTCAGGCCTCATCTCCTCCACTTGTCTTCAGTGTGAGGGCAGGATACGAATCACACCATGACTTTTAAAAGTCAGCTCCTTATTTCACAGTACAGTTAGCAGGGGGCTAAGAGCTCTGTGGTTTTCAGACTGATTGATTTATACCCGAATTCAAGAAATTCCTTTTTTTCTAGTTCTCCCGGAAGACTGATTCATTATTCCACCCCAAAATAAATATTGTGATATATATTAGGCATACTTGGCTCCAAGGGACTTAACATCATTTCTCCTATTGAAAAAAATAAATCAGGCTTGCAGATTGTAAAGACAGGTACAGAGAAGCTGGTTGGTAAGCCAGGTGGGCAGCCAGCCTCATGGGCATGACTGGCTTGTGAGGGCAGCAGAGTCGCATGTGTGGTAGGGAGGCGCTGGGGGCTTGAGGTGACTCTCTCCCTGTGTTGCTCCCATCGGCCAAATTGTC